AGTGAGCAGAGACCACATTGCTGCGCTCCAGCCTGGGGAACAAGAGCAAAACTCTGCCTCAAAAAAAAAAAAAAAAAAAAAAAAAAAAAATATATATATATATATATATATATATATATATATACATACAGTGGAGATTGCACCTGATTGTTTATTAAGCTTTAGTGCTTCCAAAACTCTATCTACGGATGATCTAGAATGATCTAGGCTGCCTTGCTAGTGGAGTTCTAATTTGTGTCTGCAAGTGAATGTCAGGTGCATGAGGTCTGAGAGGCAGAAAAGCAGAGAAGGCATTGGTCTCCAGTGCCAGGTGCAGAAATGCATGTGGGCATTGGTGGATGGTGAGGATGAAGCAGTGGCATCGTTTCCTGACTTTTCCCTGGGCATCAGCCACTTGGGTTCCAACATAATTTGCAAAATTTCCATCAGCCTTTTTGACCTTGCCTGCTCAGTCCTTCCCTTGTTGGGTCAACCTTAATTCGCTACATGAAGCAATCCCTGCTAAAAGCATCCAGTGACTTCAGATTTATTGTCTGGATCAGTTATTGTTTTCATATTTGGTTGGTTGGTTTTGTCTTTTAAGCTACTAAACTTTGTGTGGTTTCTTAAATTGTGGTAAAATATACATAACATAAAAATGTACTCTCTTAATCATTGGTTAGCGTACAGTTCATTCACATTGTTATGCAATAAATCTCCAGAACTGTTTTCATCTTGCAAAACTGAAATGCTACACATGTCTCCCCTGCCCACAGCAACCACTGTTCTCCCTTTTGTCTCTATGGATTTGACCATTACAGGTACGTCATATAAGAGGAATTATACAGTATTTGTCTTTTGTGGCTGGCATATTTCACTTAGCATGATGTTTGAACCAGTTGTATTTTGTCACATTTAATATATGGATCCTTGGCCTGAGGAATAAAGCAAGTGCTTGATTTTTGTTGACATAAAACAGATTCCTTTCCTAGGATTCTAAATAGCTCTACCCATGCAAAAAAAAAAAAATCACGTTTTGTTTCTTACTTCTTTTGCAGTTTTCAACTACCCTGATAGATCATGCATTCGAGGTGCTGCAGACAGCTGAGGATAATATGCTAGAGAACCTGTACCCACTGGCAAGCCCCAGGAAACCCCCCCTCTTGTTGTGTTAGGTCTCTGAAATCAGACACTTCACCCATGCTGAGTGTTACCTAGACATAATTTCTCTCTAAATTCTATTACTGGCCTTTGGCTGCAGAAAAATAAGTTAATTCACATCCATGTCAATAACTCAGTCACACTAAAATTGAATCAATGAGTGTAATTAGGTCTCCAAGTATGCTGTAATTTGGCAATGATGGTACTCATAGCGAGGTGGTGAGATTAATCACCAGGTGTCGTAAATGGAATGTGCTGGTTCATGAGAAATCCAGCACGGTTTCCCTGGCTGGGATGAGGATTGCCAGTTGTGGGTTTTATGGAAAGCACCGGGCCCGTATTCTCTGAGGGGAGCCTGAGTGCACGACCATGAAAATATGCGAATGTGAATGTTGGCCATCACCTGGAGATTCACGGTCAAGTGAGTCAGTGTTCTCTTTTGGCTGCCCAGGTTTTGGGGGATACTAAATGTCTTTATGAGCCTAGGAAACCTGTGGTTCCTCAACTATCCAGATCAAAGGAGGAAAATTTGAAATGAAAATACCTCGTGCAAACTCTAAAGCTCATCTATGAAAAACTAACAACTTGTTCTGCACATGAAATTCTGAGTTTGGTTTTCTGGTTGACAAACCCACAGTGGATCAGAAATAGCAAATTACAAAATGAAACAGAGCAAAGTATACATGAAATGACAATGATCAATATGTAAACTCCAGAAAATAATGCAAAAACAGACCAGGCACGGGGGCTCATGCCCGTAATCCCAGCACTTTGGGAGGCCAAGGCGGGTGCATCATGAGGTCAGGAGACTATCCTGGCTAACACAGTGAAACTCCATCTCTACTAAAAATACAAAAAATTAGCCGGGCATGGTGGCTCGTGCCCATAGTCCCAGCTACTCGGGAGGCTGAGACAGGGGAATTGCTTGAAATCAGGAGGTGGAGGTTGCAGTGAACTGAGATCACACCACTGCACTCCAGCCTGGATGACAGAGCGAGACTCTGAGAAAGAAGGAGAGAGAGAAGGAGAGAGAGGAGAGAGAGAAGGAGAGAGAGGAGAGAGAGAAGGAGAGAGAGGAGAGAGAGAAGGAGAGAGAGGAGGGAGAGAGAGGAGAGAGACAGAGAGGGAAAGGAAAGGGAAAGGAAAGGGAAAGGGAAAGGGAAAGGGAAGGGAAAGAGGAAAGGAAAGGACAGGGAAGGGAAGGGAAGGAAGGGGAGGGGAGGGGAGGGGAGGGGAGGGAAGGGAAAGGAAAGGAAGGGAAGGGAAGGGAAGGGAAAGGAGAGAGGGAGGGAGGGAGATAGGGAGGGAGGGAGGGAGGGAGGGAGGAAGGGGGGTAGGGAGGGAAGGGAAGAAAATAATGCAGAAACTGCAGGCATGGGACCTCCAAGAACATCTCCATTTGGGCCATTAAATGTAGGAGCTAATAGCTTTACAGACTGCAGCAGGTCTTATGTTTATCTACAAATTTCACCACACTGTGAAGAAACATGATCATAATTACAATGTTCAGATGCCCTGAGGAGACTGATAATCCTTGTAGTTTATGGAGTTGTGCAATACAGGAATATGTTTAAACACAGTTCTACCTCCCTCACATATCAGCGCAGTCATGTATGGTTCTTAATATGTAACAGGCATGGTTATCTAGCACTTGACTGTGCTCACTTTCAGTCAAAGAAAATGAGGCTTAGATAAATTAACTAACTTTCTCGAATTACAGAGCCATTAAGCAATGAAGCATTGAATTCAAACCCCAGCAGCTGAGCCCCAGCCCCACTCTTAAGTACCACAACACAGAGCTCACTTGTGATACTTCCAGGTAGCCAAAAGCTTTATTCTATTGGAAACACATCCTACTCCCATCTAGAATAAAATTATTGGAAATATATGATATGTCTTTAAAAGGAAACTAACTAATGTAACTCTTTGGAGCCCTGGGGAGCCTGCACTGTTCTCATTAAGCATAAGTATGAGTGAGTTGATTTCAAAGTTTATTAAATGAGTAAGTGTGGGAAATAAATTAGGAAAGAAATGATTCAGATGAAGAAAAATGACAGAAACCTAAGTTTTAAGGTTATAATGTCCTCATGTTACAAAGCACATGTCTGTATGCTGATACGGGCCCATATATATTGAATTCCTATGAACCAATGGTTTTGCATGCACATTGCATCTCTTTGGAAAGAATATACACATGTACTTGATCAAGAAGTTTGGCAGTAGGAGAATAGATTGGGCTGCTGAGTGCAGGTGGTTGGCACATTCTGTGGTATAAAGATAACCGGCTGTGGAGTAGAGGGCTGGATTTGATTGCTGTCTCTGCTATCTGTAAGCTCTTTGACCTTGTACAAGTTAACTCCTTGTATCCTTCATTTTCTCATCTGCAGGTATTTCTTAAGACATGGTACTAGATCAGGGCTTTTCTATAAAAGGTCAGGCTTTGAAATACTTTCTACATTCCTGGCTACCAGGACAGAATTGCAGCCACTGAGTTACTGAATTCTTTCCTATTTATGAGAAAATAGCCATATAAAATATAGAAATTAATGGGTACAGTTGTGTTACAATGAAGCTTTATTTACAAAAACAAGCAGGGGGGCAGATTGGACCTCAGCGATGTAGCTTGCTGACTGCTTCACTAGATAAATGTGGGTTAACATCATCATTGGATTTTGATGAGAAGTCAGTAGCATACTACATGAAAAGTATGTGATACAGTATCTTGCCCATGAAAGGTGTTTAGCAAAGGACAGTCATTATTATAAGGCAGATATTTTATGTGTAACCTAGAAAATCACATCTGGCTTTTGGATAGTCAGACCCTCTGTTCTTGCTTCTTAATTTTCATCAGGGAAGGTTAAGAGACAAGGTTAACTTAGCTAAGAAGCAACTATTGGTGGGAAGAAAGATAAGGAAAATGACAGAATTTTGTTACAGTTTCAAAATTCCTAGTTCAAAATAGGAAGAAAGGCCGATATTCTCCTGATGTGGCCTTCCCTGACCTTGCAATGTTTCCCCAGACGGCTGTAGACCCTTTCCCCTTTATATAACATTAAATGTGACTACCTTATATTAGTAACAGGTGTATTAACGGGGGTGCTTAGGGCAGGCAGGGAAAAGGCTGGATGACATGAATTCTTCCCTTCATAAATGGGCATCACTCCATGAAAACACAACATCATTTGTTGAATGTAAAATAGACTAGAATTTCAGACCTGGAAACATTTCCCTTGAAGCATCAAAATAATTGAATACTGTAATGGCTCAGCACCTGGTTTAAAGTTATAATACCAGGATTTACATTATTCTTAGCCACAGGCATATTTTTCACCAGCTTTTAACAACCCGCCTCCTTTTCCCCTTCCCTCCCACACAATAACTGGATGACTTGTCCAGATCTTAGGCAACAATTCTCTTAGCACATCAGCTCCTGGAAACAAATGCACTTAACCAGAAAAATAGGGACATCGACCAGCAAAGACGCATCCTTAGTTAACAGAGCCTGAAATTACTAGAATCTGTAAAGTACAGTGAGGAAAAGAAGTTTCACCTGCCTGCACCATCAGTCGTTGACTCTCCATCTGACTTGGAGGGACTCTGAGGGACCGACCTGAGCCTGAGAAGAGATTCCCCTTCAAGAACACACTGGGAACTCACGAACCGCCTTCTCCGTGGTGCAGAGCGCAGAGGTAATTACATAATTGTCTGTTCCATTACTTTATTCAAGAGTCACAATCTCAAATTCCAACAACCGCCAGAGAAATGGCATCAGTGAATGAAGTAAGTCATTTTAGGGACTTCAATTAATGGAAAGGGTTGTGTCCCAATAGAGATGAGCCTGGACTCATACAGTCAACTGTTTCTATGCTGGCATGTCCCACTGTTTATTGATTTTCCACATTTTCAAGGCAGCAGGAAATGTCATTTTTAATACTTTTATTTTTGGCTTTACAGAATTACTGCAAAGATAGTGCAGAATTCCCGTAAAACCAATGGGGACACCAAGTGCCCCTATTATTGACATCTTCCATTAGTATGGTATATTATTATTAATTATTATGCATTAGTATAATTATTATTATTCATTAATATAGTATATTATTAATTATTATGCATATGTATAACACTATACTTATGTATAGTGCTATACTAATGAATAGTATGTTTAATATACATTATTCATTACTATTAACATTAGTAATAATTACACAGTCATGTATAATAATACGCACTAATAATACATATACATATGTATAGTATTATACATTGCTATTAGTATTAGCAATAATTACTATGAATTAGTATGGCATATTATTAGCATGGTGTATTTATTATTATTAACTGAAGCCCATATTTTAGCCAAAAGTATACATGGTAAATGTTCTGGTATTTAAATACTGATCTCTGTGATAGGCAGAATAATTGATTCCCCAATACACAGGCAGAATAATTGGTCTCCAAACATTCAAAGATGTTCTAATCTTTGGGACCTAAGAATAGGCTACCTTACATGGCAAAAGAGACTGTGAAGATGTTACTGAGATCAGGGTTAATCTAACTGAGAGACAGGGAGCTTGCTTGGACTACCCTGGTGGATCCACTGGAATCACAGGTCATTATTTTAAGGAGACAGGAGGGTCACAGTGAGAGGAGCTGTGATGAAGGCAGCAAAGAGAGGAGTGATGTGGCCATGAGCCAAGGAACACTGGCAGCTTCTGGCAGCAGAAAACGGCCAGGAGACGGATTCTACCCGAGAGCCTCACAAGAAATAGGGCCCCAAAGACACCTTCCTTTAGCCCAGTGAGACCCACCTTAGGTTTCTGAACTGGCGGGTAATACATGTGTGCTGTTGTAAGACTAGGCTAGTGGTAATTTTTTGCTGTAGCAAAAGGAGCTAATACAGGCATCAATTCAATGAGAAAGAAAACACTCTTTTCCATCAAACAGAGACTCAACTGCTAGGCTGCCACTGTGCAGAGAGTGCATGTCTGCTGTGTGACACTAGTCTCAAAGGGGACTGAGACTGTTCCCCCTCTGCATCTCAGACCTTAAAACAGCACCCGACACAGAGAAAAGCCTCAATATATATGGATTAAAGTAATGCTTTTTAGCCCATGAAAAAATACTGTATCAATGGATGATGTCTTTGTACAAGGAATGACATGCATTCTTTATTCTTTGGCAAGAAGTGTAAGAAATATCAACTCTATCTCTGTTCATTTAGGGCTTCTGAAGTGCTTATCCTTATTTCCAAGCAACTTAAGTTTGTCTTTGGCTTCTTTTTCTGGAACAAAATGAGATGCATACTTAACATTTTGCAGGTGAAGTATCTTTGCAGATGGGTTGACTATGCTTTTGAAAATTGTGCAAGCAGAGAGAGCACTGTTTCTGACTGCATTGTCTGTCTCTTCCATTTCAAGGGTCTAAGGAAAAAAACCTCATTGGCCTCTTTTGATTTCTCCTATTAAGATTTTAACTGTGAAGCTTTTCTTTTCCCTGGGTGGGCCCCTGGGATACGTGCCTCATCAATTGAAACGAACAAAGATAATGTTAGGCTAACAAGAGAATCATCAACACCGTTACTCCTTAAAACTCTGCAAGGGCCAGTGGGTTTCCAGCATTAGACTTCAGTTTTCCTTTACAAAGAGAAATCAAAGTCGGTATGAGAAGACCACACACACACACACAGAGCACAGAAATGGGAATCTCAGGACCAATACATTAGTTTTTTTCCAGAGAGGTTCTGATGGGAGAAAGGGCTTTTCTGCATCCTTTTCCCCGTCTTACCCCACCTGCCCGCCCTTGTCCCTTCCCCCACATGAACACGTGGTAGACCTACCTATGGCACACCACTGCCTATGTTTTCCGTTTCCTCTTTGACACCTGCACACTGGCAAGGAAGGCATAGCCCATGCCATCTGGGGTAATTACAGCTTGGGCATTTTCCTCCAAGTCTCATGTTGAAACGTGACCCCTAATGCTGGAGGCGGCGTCTGGGTTCGAATCCTGGCGGCAGATCCCTCAGGAACGGCGCCATTTTCTTGGTGATGGTTGAGCGGGGCCTGGCCTCCCCCTCTCGCTCTCCCACTGCCTCGCTCCTTCTCGCTCTGGCGCCCACCCTGCCCGTGTGAGGCGCTGGCTCGCTTCGCCTTCCGACAGGACTGGAAGCGTCCTGAGGCCAGCACCAGAAGCCAATGCTGGTACCGCGCTTCACGTGCGGCCTGCGGCACTGTGAGGCAACTAAACCGCTTTCCTCACAGATGGCCCAGCCTCCGCCGATATTCCGTTTCAGTGGTGTAGACACGGCTTCACACACTGTACTGAGCGCATTCCGCGAGGGCTGCCCACGGGAGACCGACTCCCCCGCACAGCCCCGCGTCCCGCGCTGGTGCTGCGGGCGCGTCCCTCTCGCGAGACTCCTGCGTGAACACGGCCTGCCCCGCCCCCGGAGTTAAATCCCGTGGACCTTGCTCTCCCTAGATCTTCCAGAGCCAGCTCAGGTGGGCGTGGCCAGCAAGGCTGACAATCACGGAAACGGCGCTCTCTACTGCCACCTTCAGGAGAATCCCGGCCCCGGCGTCTGGTTCTCGCGATACCCGGCTGCGGCCGCGGGCTTTCCACCCCTCCACGGCCTCCGTTTTTTTTCCACCTTCATGCGCGGAAACGATCCGACCCGCCTATCCGTATTGGGAGTGCATGGGGACTCCCCTGAAGTCCTGCAAGGTCTTGACTGCAGGTTCGCAGGAAGCGGTAGATGTGACTAGTGAGGATTCATTCATGTTTCATCAATCAAGCCGGATTCCACTGATGATCTGGGTTCAGGACTGTGGCATGGCAGGCCGTGCGTTCCGGCCGTGCATTCTGCCCACGCTCAGGCCACATTTCAGCCCTGACTTCTGCTACCTGGGTGAGCTGGGCTGAGTTACAGATCCTTTGCACTTCAGTTTTCTCCCCTCTGAAATAAGCGCTACAGTGGCATTGCCCTCAGAATTGTTTTGCAAGGAATTCAATGAGTGTCTTGCATCATGTGTGCAAGACACACAATTGGGCTTAGAAAAAAATAAGTAATAATAATTCTGCTACTACGTTTATAGAAGGGCTCAGGGTGACTCCGAGCTGTGTGTTAACCACTGTAATTATTGCTACTAATAATATTTTTAAAGATTTGTTTAATTATTCCTTTATGAACACAGCAAGGCCCCCTTATTTGGGGTTTAGCTTTTACTGGAATTAGTTACCACAGTTCAAAAATGGTAAGGTATTTTAAGAGAGAGAGAAACCACATTCATAAAACTCGTGTTACAGTATATTGTTATAATTATTCTATTTTACTGTTGTTATTGTTAGTCTGTTATGGTGCTTAATTTATACTTTTACAATTTTAATTTTTTGTAGAGATAGGGTCTCACTCTGTTGCCCAGGCTGGTCTCAAACTGCTGGCCCCAAGCAACCTTCTTGTCTCTGCCTCCCAAAACACTGGAATTACAGACAGCCACCATATCCAACTTCCTAATTTATAAATTAAACTTTATCATAGTTATATATGTATAGGAAACATACAATATAAGTAAGGTTCATACTATCTGCAGTTTCACCCATACGCTGAGGGTCTCAAACTGTATCTTCTGCAGATAAGGGAGCATGACTGTGTACACATGTATGTGCCTCCATATGAATATACACATATAGATGTGGGAGTAGGTGGGGGCGGATATAGATATAGGGGCATACAGAGACAGACCCAGAGATGTAGTTTTCCTCTTTAAAAAGCAAGCACTTAGGGGAAAACAGGACTAACAAACTGGAACATAGATCTGAGGAAATTGCCTGAAACACAACACAGAGGGACAAAGCCCTGAAAAATATTCCACGGAAGTTAAGAGACATGAAGGGTAAAACAGGCAGGCATTCCGTAAGGAGAGAGAATAAGAATGAAGAGGAGCAGCATTTGAGGAGCTGAATCTAAGCATCATCTAAAATTCATTTTTTAAAATGCATCTTCAGATTTACGAATTACATCAAAACCCCAAGCAGAATTTTTCTAAGCCCATGTCTAGATAGCACTTGGTGAGTAAATTCAAGCAAGCTTTAAAAATATAGAATAGTGAAAATCATTTAAAATATGATAAATTTAATGATTTAATTTAAAAATATTAAAAATCAAATGATGCTAAAGTTTCAAGTAATAATAATATATAATTATAATAATTGGGCATTGTATATTTTAAGTTTATGGTGGTTAAGTACATATAATTTGAAATTATGCTACAGTGCCCTAATATTTAGATTTAAAAAATCAAGCATAGTACAAAAGTCATTTAAATATACAATTATATATGTCCTTTTCAGGGACAGGGATGGAGCTGGAAGCCATTATCCTCAGCAAACTAATGCAGAAACAGAAAACCAAACACCCATTTTCTCACTTATAAGTGGGAGCTAAATGATGAGAACACATGGATAAATGGGGGAACAACACATACAGGGGTTTGTTGGAGGGGGAGAGATGGGGGAGGAAGAGCATCAGGAAGAATAGTTAATGGATGCTGGGCTTAATACCTTGGTGATGGCTGATCTGTGCAGGAGACCACCATGGCACACGTTTACCTATGTAATAAATCTGCACATCCTGATTTCATCCCAGGAACCTAACATGAAAGTTGAAGAAAAAAAATACAATGATATGGACAGAATACAAGAAAACTAAGAGAAGAATTGTGTACAATAAATACCAGCCAGGGAAAACCTGATAAAGTTTTATTAAACACCAGAGAAAATAGTATTCCAGGCAAAAATGTTCTGGGATACAAATAGAGTACTAAATAATGATGTAAGTAACAACCTACAAGTTTGTGAGAAGTCCAAAATTCTAATTAACTAAGAATGTAATTTAAATGTAAGTTGCTATATGTATTGTCAGAAATATTAGGTGAATTTAACAAATAATTTATAAAAGTAGAAAGGTTTATCATACCTTACCTGGAAGTTGATGTGCCAAACAAATGTAAATGAGTAAGAATAAGCAATAGTTGAGCAAATTTAAACTAAAGGACTTATATAAAACCAGTTCCCTTAAATGAAAAAGTATGCATTTCCTCTAAACACAAAATAGCATTTCTAATGAGATAAAAAAAAAAACAACTTTAAACAGTTAATATAAAACAAAACATTTTTTGAGCAGTAGATTTCATTCCTACAAATTCTTTTTAGATATTTATTTATCTAACTTCTATTTTAATTCAGGAGTGCATATGCTGGCTTACGATGTAAGTAAAGTTGTATCACGAGGGCTTGTTGTATAGATTATTTTATCACACAGGTATTAAGCCTAGTAGCCATTAATAGTTTTTCCTGATTCTCTCCCTCCTCCCATCCTTCACCCTGTGGTAGGCCAAAAAGTGTGTTGTTCTCCTCTATGAAGACACTTTTTATTCAAGACAGAGTCTCACTCTGTCACCCAGGCTACAGTGCAATGGCACAATGTTGATTCATTGCAGCCTCAACCACCTGGACTCAGGTGATCCTCCCACCTCAGCCTCCCAAGTGGCTGGGATTACAGGCCAATGCCATCACACCGGGCTAATTCTGTACTTTTTGTAGAGATGGGGTTTTGCTATATTGCCCAAGCTGGTCTTGAACTCCTAGGCTCGAATGATCCCCCTGCCTCAAACCTCCCAAAGTGCTGAAAACACACTTTAAAAGTAAACCAAACCTTCATAGATTTGGAATTTATATAAAAGAGGAAACTACAGTACAAAGTAGAAACATTTAGAGTTGAGCCACAATGAAAACAAGGCCTATAGATCCTGAGACAGGCACAGAAACAGCGTGTAGAGGACACATCACCTTACATGCATTCTGGAAGTGAGAATTTAAAAAAATAGAACAAAAGAGCAACCTTGGGTAGAAAAACGAAAACAACTGGAAATAGAGAAATTAGTTCAAAGGAAATCACAGGAGCAACTGAGAGAACAAATAAAACCAACATGAAATCTTCGAAGAAACCAAGGAAACAGTGAAACCATTTGAATGATTGACCAAAAGAAAATGTGTGTGTGTGTTTGTGTGTGTGCCTGTGTGCATGTGTGTGTTTAATAATAAAGGTAAAGACACGAGAAGAGATGGCTGTAGATAAATTAGCTTCTTTGGAGAAAATCAGAGAGAGTTTTCCTCCTCATTCTTGAACTTCCTTCTCAGCTTCAGTAAGAATGGTGACTCTCTTGCTGGGCACGTGGAAAGGAATTACACTTCAGTTTCATTCAGCCCTTTAAAAAAAAAATAAGTAACCCTATATGATAGACAAAACTAATAAAATGTGTGGCATTAGGGAATGATTGAGATCACATCTGACATTAGGAAAGTAATTAATTGTTAGAAAAATATGCTAACACTGGCCTCTGAAAACTTATCTCTGTTGTAAGAACCTATAAAAACGAGGGTAATGTCAAAACGTCTGAGCCAGCATTAATGAATTAATGAGGTTTTTTTTTTCTTTT